CTTTCTATATTTGTGAATTCATTTTATCCAAAACTCGAACCCTGAGGGCAGAGGTTATGCATTTTTTTTGGAAAGCATTCCCTTCATTTTCACTATTATGGCAGTAGTTGGAACCAAAAATTACGAATTGCAAAATAGGTGGCGATGTGTAACAGGACCAACAGTGAGGCTGAAATGTACACCAGTAGATGTGATCTGCAGCCCAGTTGGTACATAGGAGCCTCAATTTCGTGAATGAACAGGTTTTTGCAAGCTCACACAAAGATGGGAAGGCGGCGAACTATGCAAGTGTACATGAACAAGCCGACTACAATCCCGCAGTGTATAAATTGAGTCTCCACCTTCGCTGCTGCTACCACCACCGCATTTGGTGTCTTCCTTTATCCCGCTTCAATATTAAACACCACCCTACCATTGAAATCGTGAATTGAACCGAGGGCACGTATTTCTACTGTTGAATTAATTGCCTTTTGAAATCAATGATTCCAATGATTGAATGAAAACAATTTGCTGCCAATTAATTTAGCAAATTTTGCAGACCCATCAAATCAGTTTTATTCTGCAGATTGTACCAATCTTCTAGTGAGAATCAAACGCAAACAGGCAACATTGTGCTCCATTACTTCCACACTTAAAGGCAATCTGGTCCCCTAATATTTTTGTCAAGTCATTGATGTTTTAACACGAAATAAACGTTTGCAAGCATTTGTGATACACCAATTTATAGTTAAAGTGCCGAAAACATGAAAACGAAGCGCTTGACGGGAAGTGACTGTACCGTATGACCAAATATTCAAGCGGATAGGTACTGTATTCAACTAACAAAAGTGGAACGCACAGTTTCACTGGGACATCCGAAAACCCGTCATTCCCCGACAATTTCTGTGTCGGTAGGCTAGAGTTAAAGCCCATACACCTACCAATGACTCAATTACAAAAGCACCTTCAGACCTCAAGTCTGAAGAAGCTAATTTCAATCAAATCAATTCTAAACAAGCCTAACTCCCCGCCAAGGAAATTTTCTGTTGCCGCCTCGTCCTGCATGACACCCAGGAAACAATTACCCATCCCGCCAGACAGATTCAGCATTCGCAATTGTAGACCACTATATTACGAACTCACGCATCATTCCACGAGGAAAATTAAACCAACCTAACCATCTAGGTGCAAACTGTAGCGAGCACATTTAAAAGCAAACATGTTGAAGGACTATATCGGCGTCTTCGAAGCAGCAAAAAGAACGCGACGAGGAGCACGCAAATCTACGACACCGCAGTTGACCATTTAATGATTAAGGCACCTGTCACAGTATTTAAAAAACAATTCCCTTGAGTGCACAAACAAGAGATCCAAGAACAGCCACCAACGATGAGAAATGGAACTCGTGAATACCGCCTGAAACTCCAGGATGAAAGTCGCCCCGTTCAGGCAATCAGGTTTCCGCGGCTGAGAAAGACAGGTAGGCGAATTCGTGAACTTAAGATCAATAAAATAACCGCCTTCAAGGCCACTTCGAAATAAATATTATTGGATAGGGGAGAATGAAAGGCAAGAGGAAGCGAGGGTCAATGTACACCTGGAGAATGCAGATACGAAACAACAGCCATTAGTAAATAAATAGGGTGAAAGTGTCTAGTTGTTAAATGAAAGAATATAAGTAACTTGTGAAACCACATAATCGAGGGGCTAGAGTTCCATATCTCGAGCCTCATCTTCGGAATAATCTGACATTGAACTCTCATCGTCTGAACTTGATTCGGCTCCACCTTCCTCAGCTTTCAGAGCCTCCTCAGTTGCAAAGCGCTGAACATACTCTGAGTTAAACAGAATCAGGAAATAAACAACTGACAGTCGAAATATTTTCACAGGATAATCAATCAGATGAGGTAAACAAAACCCACTAGTGAAAGAATCAGGTGCAAAGAGGGGAAGGAAACAATGATAAAAACCAACAGACACCGTAAAGAACAAAAGAACATAGTCAGTACTCAAAGATGTAACAAACCTTTTACTTTTGAAACATAATCCATCGGCTTGTACATAAAAAGTGAAGCAGCATCACTATTTAGAGGATCCGTAGGGTTCGGATAAGCCAAGAGTTGAGGCAGAAATGACTCAAAGATATTTGTAAGGTCTACAATCAAAATAATCGAGAGGTCTTACCGTAAACAGCCGACCACTGCTGATTAATCACATCTAGGCAAACAGTTCCAGACCTATACGAGATGAAATGTAAATTCTGCGAATGCAAGACATACGCTTCGTCAATATTCGGATGAAAAATTTTGTTCATGAATCCTATAGAGGGTGATTTGAAAGGATACCGTTCTGGGAGCTCAACACGAACTTTCCAAATTCCACCTTCATAAGGTGCTGGTTGAAAGAATTAGATGATGAATAGCAAACTACTTTCTGGAGGACCATTAAACTTCACCATTAGTTCATTGAGTCCACCGAGAACAGTAACTTCATATTTGCTTTCGATTCTGGGACAAAAAGTCGCAGAGATAAGATAATGACCGATAAATGCAACAAATTAGGCAACTGAGAATTTCTGATTCACACATCCAAGGACAACCTCAGCAACGTACAGTTTAACGACATCAGTATCCATTCGCTTTTTTCCTGGACCTGGTGAAGACATATCGAACCCAGAGACTGGAGAACAAAATCGAAACTAAACAATCAGCTGAGCGACTGACCTAGAAGTGAAATCGAAACTAGAAATGATCGTTAGTTGAAGGTCAGACAAAAGCCTAAATCTTTGAGGGAGTTTGAAGTTCCGGAAGTATTTACAGTTCTATTAAAATAATCAGTTACAGCATTCGGTTAAGCTGCTCGTCGTTTGATTCTTTAAAATATTCGCCCCTTAGTATTGTGTTAAACATGACTGTACTTTACTTGTAAATGTCGTGGGTCCTTCCGTGGCATGCAGTGAATGCTTTTGTGATGAATAATTCGAACAAAGATTCAAGGATCTAAACCGAATTAAGTGTCCCAAAGTGATGCATGATCATGTAGGTTCTCAAGGGTTTGATAAATCAAAACGTGTCTGTGGATTCGAAAGGCATTTACTAATCCCTACGTTCATCTTTGCCTTAAGCCATTGCTTTTAGAAAGACTAAATGCCGAAACGTTTTGAAGCAGTCTACCATGTACGCCTTAAAAAGCACAATATATGTAAAGTATCCTTTATACCGTGGGAGCTGGTGTTGTCACAATTTTGGAAGATGAGTGAATGCGGCTATGGCAGCGCTTCAGTAAGCTAACACGAGCAAGAAAGAAAGCATTGCCGTATGACTGGAGTTCACGACTGTATGTTTTGCTGTAGCATCACACCTAATAATGCGAAACGGGATAATATTAAAGCGAAAGAGATTGAGGGTTCGACGTAGGCCTGAGCCGCATTCGAAGCCATCAGACACACAAGAAAGTTACCACAGTTTTCTGTGAATCTTCTGCACGTTAACGCACTGCTTAATATACGCCCCTATTCAACACAAGTTTTCGTGACTAATGCAGTTAGCAGGTAAGGAATGTTGTACGCTGACAAGTTAATTTCAATCCATAGCCTCAGACACAGCATCATCACTTTTTCTGAGATAGTGCAACACATCCTTTTGTCAACTCTTAGCTTTATGTTCATTTTTAGTGTTCTTGCCTCTTAAAGGAATACAAAATTTCAAAACTTCCTACAGAATGAATGTTGGGGATGATCCATTGTGCATCTTTTACAGGCCCTCTAATCCAGTCCGTGTTACCAAGGCCATTTCAAGCATTCTAGTGCCCAGCGTTTCTCAGGGCTGATCAGGTGCCTATGAAGAGCGGCGAGAATTAGGACTGCTGATTAGCCCCATAAAAAGTGGGATGCAACGCGAATTTTTGAGGCTGTTTCCTACTAATGTCGTCGGCGATAGTTACGTTCCTCTAGCAATATGCACTTTTACGCGTTTGCTACTTTCCCGAGTCTCAGTATTCTTTCAGTAGCACCACAGCCCATTTGGATGAGATGACATCCGATCAGGCTAGTAACAAAGTAATCTCTCTAGGCTGCACATAATTATCCTTGTTCGCAGAGAGGTCTTGAATGTCCACATTTATGCCACCAATGTGTTAAAACCTTTACTTGGCGTTTTCATTTTAATGGTCACTAGCATCGCACTATTAGCGACCGCTCTGCAGAGGAAGTAAGCCTGAATGCGTCATAAAAGTTCTGCCACCCGTAATGCACTTAGCTTTTGGCGATCACATTTACGTGATAATGAAAAGTGAATACAGCGCAACTCATTTCAGTGATCCCACGTAGCTATTTAAGCGGAGGTCGGAGGCAAAAAAACAGCCAGTTAGCAAAGGAATTGCACAAGCTCTGCAAAAAAATTGAATGCTTCGGCATGGGCAGATGAACCAAGAAACCCCCCAGCAGCGGCACACATGAGAAAGGCCACACGGTCTGACCACGTCGAGCCGATTAGGTGACATATCATCACCTTGAATGGTGATTGCAACTCACCCCAAGCGTAAGCAGCGCGAGTGACTAGAAATCCCCAGTAAAAAGCGTTCCAGGAGCTGAGAACTTTCACTCCAGCCATTTACACCAAGAACTACGTTTTTATTATCATGTTTACTCTTTAGACCTAGAAGATTCTGCATGACGAGGACCTATTAAGGTTGAGAATAAAGTAAAACTAGGACGATGTACACACAAACGTTGACACCCCCCAGCCCTCTTGGATGAAGCTAAAGTACAAGATTTTGAAAGGAAGAAACGAATAGCACTACCTCCACAAGCCTAGTTAAATAAGGGCTTGTATGGGTATTTTAAAGTTCACTTCTACAAAAGAAAGACATTGTAAAATTGTAAAATTACAACTGAGAGTGGTTCCAAGGGAAAAAACACCCAGAGTCTGTACACTGTGAAACAGTCATTACTAAAGGCTTAAATCTGACATGGGTGACAATATGTATAAGCTGACTAAAAAGGCCTCCGAAGAGTGCGCAATCTATAAATCATTGTCCTCGAGAAAGCTATAGAGGAAGACAAACTCGTCCTTCTTCCGTTGGCTCATGGTTTCGAAATCGTAGAAAACATAAGCTCCCGATTCAAACTCATCGGTGATTTGTTTAGGCTCCTCATTACGCTGGAACCAGTACATGTATTTGGTGTGGAAGCGCCATGACATGCGCTTGAGTGCCTTTGCCGCAAAGTACTGGGCTCTTGTGCCCTCGAAGTAGTAGAAGATGAAGAAGAGTGTCTGTGCATCCATCTTCATATAACACTCTTCTAGGTCGTACCCTTTGATTGGCTCCAACGGAAAAAAGCTGGGCACATTTATTGGTCTTTTGGTAACGAGCATGCGCGATTTAAAAATGTCGGTGGGGAGTGGTGAGCGCCGAAACGCGATCTCCAACCCTTGCAATTGTGCTCGAAGCTGTAAAACCAAATTCATAAGTACTGTTGCTAGATGAAATAAAGGTATCACTTCTAGCCCAAAACAATGTATGGAAACAGAGAAGTTACGCAGTTAGTAATGGCTTCAAGCATTGTTGCACAGGCGGATAAAGGGACACTAAATGAATTTAGACACTAATCTCGAGCCCGCCTCAATGAATCATAAATTTGATGAAAAAATTTACGATAATCAACCGTGCAATAATAGCCGCGAAATGAGTTCTCGGAATGTATTTCGCGAAAGACCTGAAAGCAGTAAATTTGGGAGGTAGAGATACTTGAACCAGAGAAGAAAATGAAATTATAGGCGCGCCAAAAAACATTCAAAAGAATGCTGAGTTATGCTTGACGATACTTTAAAACAGCTTTGTCTATAATGGTGACAATGGAACATCGCAAATAAGCCACGATATTATACAAAATTGTGGTGATGAATAAGGTACTAACCTCCGGAGGAAGCGTACGTTGTTTGTCCAGCTGCTGATTACGGAAAGGCGCCAAAGCATCACGAGGATGAACAAGAACGAAAGTGGGGGAAGATTGTTGCTCCTGTTGCTGGTTGCTCACAGATGGAGCGACATTAGCATTTGTCGGAACTTGAGAGGTAGAGGCGACGTTAAAGGTGGGTGTAGAGGACTTAGACGTGACCGAAGAAAGTGAAACTGAACTCGAAGGTGGTGCAACGGAAGCGGAAGTCGTATCTACAGTAGTAGACGGCGTCTGGGCAGGAGATGGAAGCTTAATCATGGCCACAGTAGAGTCGCTGCTCTGAGCTCTCTCTTTGACTTCTTCGGCTTTTCGTTTTTCATTTTTAATAGGAGTAGCAGACGAAGAAGAGAGAGCAGTTTTGGGATCGGACTCATGCTGTTGATGCTGCTCCTTCTTAGATTTATCCTTTTTTGAATCCCCAGCAACTTTTGCGTAGTTTTCCCGATAAGCTGGAGCAACATCAGAAATTAAAACTGTTAGCCTATCCGATTCTGGCTTCAAGACCTCAGATTGCTGATGCTTGGCAGCAGCACCTGCGAAAGATTTCTTATTCGACGAAGGAGTGGTAGTTGAAGGCCCAGTCGACTGGAAGGAGGAAGGGAGCGTTTGGTTGACGAATGCGGAAGCTGGTTGTGACTTAGTACTCTTTTCCCTCTTCTCCTTTACCGGAGTACTAGTAGAGGATAGGGAAGTGGGATTGATTATGTACTTCTCTTCTAGAGAGGTCTTTGGTCGCTCTCGAGAGGAAGCGTTTGAGGAAGCAGAAGAACCGGGAGGCAGCGAAGAACTAAAAGGTGTTAAATCATCACCATTTCCAGTTTTAGTGACAGTCGAAGGTGCGGCTGTAGAACTCAACTCGTAGTCGAGAAAGCCCGGAGCAACCAAAGCATTTGGTGTCACGATCGAGCCATCTCCTATGTCTTCTAAATGCATATCTTCATACAAGGACCGATAATCTTCCATACTAGCATCATCAATTGATTCAATTATATACTCGATGGGGTCCTTTAGAGATCGAACTTTCGAAAAATCAAGACGTTCGTTGTCCAAATGGCGCATAACAGTTTCGAGCTTTTCGATATGATATGCACAGAACTCCAGCTTCTGCTTCTTCTCCTCCAAAAGAGCAGCTTTCTCTTTATCAACACGCTTCTTCTTGCCAGTAGTGGACAGCGTTTCTAAGTCATACTCGTACCTTTCTGATTTATTCTGCAAAGCAGAAATTGATTGTTTGAGCCATTCATCTAGCTCCTCTTTCTCTTTTTGCAGCGGGTCCTTCTTTGCATCAGCGGAGAGAAGGCCTTCCTTTGAATAAGCTTTGGTCTTTGTCTCTTTCTCAATGACTTTGAATCTTTCCATATCCTGTTCAATCAATTTCCGAGCTTCCAGAAGTGGCCGCTTATCCTTTATGTCGTTACAAGTATGCCAAGTCTTAATTTGATCTCGGAAACGCTGAAGCCTTTTAATTTCTTTCTTAAGGTCAGCCTCGAATTTCTCCTTTTGAGTTTGGTTATTGGAGCTTTCGAACTTATCTAGGATCTCCTAACAAGTTTCAAAGAAAACTCTAAGTTACAATGAGATGTAAGAAAAAGGTATTAAGGTTTTGAACGAAAATCGACTGAAATACGGGATCAGAGGGCTACACGCCAAATCGCGAATGAAAACCCCGTCACAAAGAAGATTACAACCTGATACCGTTCAAACAAAACATGAAATGTTACTAGGTGACATTATCAAAGACAATATGTAGAAGTCAATCCGTCAAGATGCTCTGTAATTCAGCTAACATAACAGAGCCATACCTGAAATGCAGTGCGCCCTTCCTGTACTCGCTTCAGCGTTCTATCAATATCACACTGTAGCTTCCGCTTGTCTGCCATTTTCCAGACGAAAGCAAGAATGCAATCTGTGCGCCTTCAAGTTTGGCAAGTAAAACAAGTAACTCGTAATTAAAAAAGTACCTTCAATGATGTCGCGATATATAGACATAATAATTTAATTATTAAGATCTGCTGTAAAAAATCATTTGGATTGATATACCGTTAAAGACTAAGTATTCGGCCAATGTGAAGGAATCCCATGGAGGGGTGCGTGTATGTGCCAAAACCTTGTGTTAAAGATGCACTCATGTGTATAATAATGAAATTGCTCTCTTGTAATCAATTATCTTTATATACTTATATGTGCATGCACACTTTAGTTGAATGCTGTAGCGCCTTGAGTCCTCCAATTAAGTAAAGAAGGCATTCAACTGTGCCGAATCTATGCATTCTACGAAGACACGAGGAGGTCGGGCTCTAACTTGACCCAAAGACCAGCTTATGAATGCAAGTGATCATTAGATACGAGACCATCTCATAAGCAAAGTATCACAATCATTCATATAATTGGCGATCACACTGGTGTATAATTTGCTACTGCCATGTGAACGGGACTTAGTGCCAGATCTTAACTCCACTTCTGCCCTTTCTGGCCAAGTGCAAGCAATTGTACCTATACTCGTTGCCTACTACCTTAAGCAGTCTTGGGACGTTACAACCGTTGCAACATTTCGAGTGTGGTAGCTTTCGCCCTATTCTTAGTCTAGTGTACTTTCTTCTTCATAAGTAGATGTTTGTTCTATGATAATTTTTTTGGCTCTTGCTACAGAATGCAGGGAAATTTGGGTGTAAGTAAGGAAGGTCTTAAACGATCAACACATAATGTGCATTAAATCGAGCCCTTTAATTTGATAGCAGGAAGCAGAAAGTGAGGCTGAATGCATATGCATTAGGGAGAGAAAGGGAGAAGGGTGGCCAGTCTAAATTGCTTAGAGCAAGGTAAATGTTCAACCAACCGCCATTTATCTAAACAGCCCAATACACTGTACTCGCTAGCTGTCATAACACATTCGGCACTTCAAGGGCGATTTCATGATTCAGATGTACCGGCTGTAATGCTTTGTTCATGTGATCACATGGCGTTTGGCGGGCAATATGTAATTTGAGTAGTCCCTGTACACGTGGACTGGCTTTCGGGCCACGCTCAGGCCCCATTTGCCCTGTCGCCTTCCG